AAATTCAGAATGAAATCAATTGTACATTTTCATATACTTTGGGTTGTTAAAAATTAATTTTCATTGCAGGTACGGCACTGAATAACTGGCCACTCCATATTTGGTTTGGTGGGTGTATAAACAGAATGGCAATGGTTGATGGATATGCATGGGCCCAATAGACTGAGCTGCTACTACAGAAACCAAAGATCCAGCCTGCTCATGTGTCAATTCTGACTAAACTTTTGGACATTAGGAAGTGACCACCAGTGGGGCTGCATAAACAATGGGCCAACTCTATGCTCATTTTTGTTAGAATGTCTTTATGCTCCCACTTTGAAGAACTTCCATTTTCAAAAGAAGCCCATGCCTCTTACTTATCTGAGTTGTACCACCATGCAGTGCCCAAGGGTACAACAACATTTGAGATATTAATGAGTTAGAAATTTGAAATATTGTCTGCTGTACCAGTTTTCAATTTATGAAAGGTAGATTTTTTAAAATAGTTATTTTAAAAAAACGTCAGCCATGGGTGGCTCATGCCTGTAATCCCAGCACTTTCGGAGGCTAAGGCAGGATCCTGGCGTGAGGCCAGGAGATTGAGATAAGCCTGGGAAATATAGCAAGACCTTGTTTCTACAAAAGAAAACAATAAAAAATTATCAGGGCATAGTGGTGTACACCTGTAGTCCTAGTTAATTGGGAGGCTGAGACCAGAGGATGGCTTGAGTCCAGGAGTTCAAGACTGCAATGAGCTATTATCACACCACTGTACTTCAGCCTGGGTGACATTGCAAGAACGTGTTTCTGAAACAAAAACAAAAACAAAGATCCTAAAAAGAAAATCTTTTGGTGATGGGGTGAAACTAAGAGGAAATATTACTAGAAAGAAGAGAGTCATGGAGCTCATCCCAGCATGGTGGAAATCTTTATATGGTTATTAAGAAATGGGAAGAAAAAAAAGGAAATTAATATGGTTAAAACAAAGATCTTAATTGAACACTATCAAGTTGGGTGGACCAATGGGACTCCTCGAAAGTCCCCACACCTTAAAGAGCCCCAAACAAATCTACTCTATTTATTACACTTTGGAATAATTTAAAACACAAGAATTCAGAGATTACAATGAGAAAGCTTAGTAACAATTGCTCCAGACAATGTTTAGATGGGTTAATCAAGATAAAAATTGAGAAAAACTCAAGAGTCTCTTTGTTCAACTCACTACTGGGGACCCAAAACCTTATGTACCAGAAAGGCGAAGTTGTCAGGAAATGAGAAAGAGAAATTCTTGGGATTCCTTAATATGAGATCCACATGAACTATGATAACAAGGTACACTGGCAAAGCCCTGACTGGGGCTACAATTAGATTGAGAGAACATAAAAATTTAAGTGGTGATAGGATTATGGAAATCAGAGTGATTAAACAGACTATAGGTAAAGAAGTTGTGTCTTCTTTCCCCAGATGTTTTATGAGATGGATATTATGTCTGGCTGAGGAACACTTCTACAAAATATTGTAATACAAAACCTGTTGATAAAGTCCTAATGGAGGTACAATTAGAAAAGTAAGGGTTGATCAAATTTAGATAAAAGTTTATAGGAAAGTCATATAATTGAGCATGCTTTATGGGAAGTGTTTGAATCTCTTTTATCTGACATGGTTGCTTTTGCACTACAATGGCAGAGTTGAGTAGGTGCAAGATTTCATAATGCTTGCAAATTCTAAAATATCTACTGAATGAGATTTTACAGAAAATGTTTCCTGATTCCTGCTTTATATTAAAGAGGGTTAATTTTTCCTATAAATTATATATGAATTCAGTGTAATTTTAGTTTAAAATGTACAGTTTCATAGGAAATGAATTATTTATGTATAATTATGTGAATAATTATTTAACAAATTCGTCTATTTCCAGTATATATGTCATATGATATAAACTGTTAGATATTTGTAAGTGGAAGTGGCTTGCCAGGGATCTTTTGGCACAAAACATTTAAGTTACATGTGCTAACCACAGGTGCCTAAGGCAAGGGATAACATTCTTCTGCAAGTAATAAATAAATGGAATAGCCTGGAGAGGAAGAGATTGTGAAGGGGGTATAAAAATATAAGCATTAAAAAAAAATCATATCCAGAGATGCTGGAGCAATTTTGACAACTTATGTATGAATCATATATCTCACCACCAAATGGTATATTTATACTGAGGACCTTAGATAAGACAGAGGGCTCCAAAGTGAGTTGATAGAGAGATAGAAGAAAAGAGAGTGAGAGAGAAAGAGAGAGAGAGGGAGAAACAGAGAGAGACAGAGAAAATGTATTCCCTTTTCTTGCTGAGATTTGGAAGTTATGTTACCTCCTTTCCACTATACTCTCTTAAGTTCATTACACATATTTGCATTCATGAATTGTTCTGTGAGAAATATATGAGTGCATGTCTCATTCTGGCATAATGACTTCTTTACCTTTGGACATATACCCAGCAGTGGGATTGCTGGATCAAATGGTAGGTCTTCTTTTAGTTCTTTGAGGAAAGAGTAATCTCCGTACTATTTTCCATAGAGGTTGTACAGATTTACATTCCCACCAGGAGCATGTGAGCATTTCCTTTTCACTGCATCCATGCCAACATCTTTTATTTTTTGACTCATTAATAATGACCATTTTGACAGGGCTGGGGTGGTATATCATTTTGATTTTGATTGGCACTTCCCTGATGATTAGTGATGTTGAGCATTTTTTCATGTGTTTGCTGGCCATTTGTGTATCTTCTGAAAAATGTCTGCTAATGTCTTTTGTCCACTTTTTAGTGGAGCTACTTGTTTTTTTTCTTGCTGAGTTATTTGTGTTCCTTGTAGAATCTGGATATTAATTCTTTCTTGGATGCATAGTTTGTGAATGTTTTCTCCCATTCTGTAGGTAGTCGATTAACTCTGTTGATTATTTAATCTGCTGCGCAGAAATGTTTAGTATAATTAAGTCTCATTTATTTGTTTTTGTTTTTGTTGTATTTGCTTTTGGGGTCTTAGTCATAAGTTGTTCGCCTCAGCATATATCCACAAATGTTTTTCCTATATTTTCTTCTAGAATTTTTATGGTTTTCTGTCTTACATTTAACTCTCGAATCCATTGTGAGTTAATTTTTGTGTTGTCGAGAGATAGGGATCAAGTTTCTTTGTTCCGGATGTTGCTATCTCATTATTCCAGCACCATTTATTGTACAGTGTGTACTTTCTCCAGTGTAGGATATGGTCTGCTTTGTCAGAAATCAATTACTTGTAGGTGTCTGGTTTTATTTCTGGTTACTCTATTCTGATCCATTGTTCTATGTGTCTACTTTATAGCAGTATCATGCTGTTTTGGTTATTATAGACTTACAGTATAATTTGAAGTTGGGTAATGTTATGCCTCCTGATTTGTTCTTATTCTTTAGGACTGCCTTGGTATTTGGTGTCTTTTTTGATTCCATATGCAATTTAGTATTTTTTTTCTAATTCTGTATAAAATGACACTAGTATTTTCATGGGAATTATATTGAATCTGCAAATTACTTTGGACAGTGTGGATATCGTCAAACTATTGAATATTCTAATCCATGATCATGGGATATTTTTCCATTTGTTGTGTTATCAACAATTTCTTTCATCAATACTTTTTATTTCTTCTTGTTGATATCTTTCAACTCCTTGGTTAAAGTATATTCCTAGGGATTTTAAAGCTATTTTAAATGTGATTGAGTTCTCGATTTGATTCTCAACTTGGTTGTTATTAGTGTATATATATATATACTACTGATTTGTGTACATTAATTTTGTAACCTGAGAGTGTACTGAATTTATGTATCAATTCTAGGAGTCTTTTGAAGGAATTTTTAGGGCATTCCAAATATAAGTTCATATCATCTGCAAACAGGGATAGTTTTACCTCTTCTTTTCCAATTTGGAGGGCCTTTATTTCTTTCTCTTGCCTTCTTACTCTTGATAGAAATTCCAGTGTTATGTTTAATAGAAGTGATGAAAGTGTACATTCTTGAATTGTTCCATTTCTCAGGTGGAATGCTTTTAAATGTACTCCATTCAGTATGTTTGTTGACTGTGGGTTTGTCATATATGATTTTTATTATTTTGACGTATGTTCCCTCTCTGTCTAGCTTGATTTATCATGAAGACATGCTGGATTTTATTGAGTGGTTTTTCTGCAACTATTGAGATGATTATATAGTTTTTGTATTTCATTCATTTCATGTGGTCAACATTTATTGATGTGCATATATTGAACTGTTCTTATATCACTGGAATGAAACACACTTCATTATAGTTAATTAGTTTTTTGATTTGCTTTCTCCTTTGGTTTGTTGGTATTTTCTTGAGAATTTTTGAATCTATGTTCATAATAGATGCTGGTCTGTTTTTTCTTTGTTGTTGTTGTTGTATCCTTTCCTGTCTTTGGTATCAAGGTGAGACTAACAATGTAGAATAAGTTAGAATGAATCAAGCATGATCCTCACACTCTTGATGTTATAGAACACTTTCAGTAGGATAAGTACCAGTCCTTTGTAGGTCTGATTGAATTTGGCTGTGAATCCAATTAGTCCTAGGCTTTTTTTTTTTATTAGGAGATTTTTATTACTGATTCAATCTCCCAATTTGTTATTGGTCTATTTAGGATTTTTATTTCTTGCAGATTCAGGCTTGCGGGCTTGTAGGTTTACACAGGTTTATTCATTTTGTCTTGAGTTTTTATTTTAGTTTGTGTGCATGGAGGTTTTCATAGTAGTCTTAAATGATCTTTTGTATTTCTGTGGCATCTGTTGTAATGTCTCTTTTTTCACTTCTTATTGACCTTGTTTAAATCATCTCTTCTTGGTTAATCTATCTAGTCAACTGTCGACTTTCTTATCTTTTACAAGAACCAACTTTTCACTTCTTTCGTCCTTTGTATTGTTTTTTGTTTGTTTCAATTTCATTTTGCTCCACAGCGATCTTGTTCTTTTCTTTCTTTTATTTCATAGTGGTATAAGGACAAGCTTTATTGAGCCCCTCTGCCCTAGGTCTTTCTCCTGAACTATCTTGTTCCCCGGAAACGTCCAGTCTGGTGGGCAGCAATGAGACCCACTTTTTGGGCAGTGGGGGCATCTCTGCAGATGGTGGAGGGCTTGCTCATGTGTTGGTGGTTACCATCTCCGAAGAGATGCTCCACAGGGTTCATGGCTACACCCTGCACACGTGGCCAGCAGTTCCTCTCTGCCTTGTATTTGTGGTAAGCACGGCCAGCCTTCAGGATGGGTTTCTCAATTCCGCCATCTCTGGCCACCACACCAACAACCGTTCTGTCAGCTGAGGAGATGACTTTCTTGGAGCCAGAGGGCAGCTTCACACGGGTCTTCTTAGTCTTCAGATTAAGGGAGATAGCAGTGGCATAGCTCCCTGAGGCCCAAGATAGCTTGCCACAGTCCCCAAGCTTCTCCTCCAGGCAGCACAAGATTGTACCCTCAGGCATACTGCCTACAGGGAGAACATCGCCAATGTTGAGCTGGGCTTTCTTGCCACAGTACACGAACTGGCCCGTATGAATACCCTCAGCAGTGATGAAGAGCTCCGTCCTCTTCTTAAACTGGTATGGATTGCGGAAGACTACCTTTGCGAGGGGAGCACTGTGGCCTGGGTCGTGGATGATATCCTTCACGATGCCATCCTTCACGATGACCTTGATGTAGCCGTGCCGCTCCGCCAAGACCATGGTGCGCAGTCGCGCGGCGCCCTTGCGGTGCTTCACGTGTGCCCGGAAGACAGAGATGGAGCCTTCCTCTGTGCACGGATCATGCGGCCCCTGGCGGCGGGTCTGTGGATTAACGCAGCAGAAAGAGGAAACGCGCGCCAGGAGCTGCCTTATCTTCTGGGGCGGGGCCTGATCTTATTTCCTATTCTCTGCTGGCTTTGTTCTTGTTTTTCTAGTTCCTAAAGTGTGGCGTTAGGTTGTTAATTTGTGATCTTTCTGGCTTTTTGGCGTAGGCATTTAATACTCTGAACTTCCCTCTTAGCACCACCTTTACTATATCCCAGAGATTTTTGGTAGCTTGTGTTGCCACTGTCACTCAATTCAAAAGATTGTTTTATTTCCATCTTAATATAATCATTGCCCAAGATATCATTCAGTAGCAGATGGTATAATTTCCAAGTATTTGCATAGTTTTGAGAGTTTCTCTTGACATTAATTTCTAGTTTTATTACACTGTGGCCAGAGAAGATAAGTGATATTTTTTGCATTTTTCATAAATTTCTGAGACTTGTTTTGTGGCAGAATGTATAGTCTTTCTTGGAAAATGTTTCATGTGCTGATGCGAAAAATGTATGTTTTGTATATTTTGTTTGGAAGATTCTGTAAAAGTCTCTTAAGTCTACTTGTTCTAGAATTCCATATACATCTAGTGTTTCTGTGTTGATTTTCTGTCTTAATAATCTGTCTAGGTCTTTAAGAAGAATATTGAAGTCCCCCACTACAATTATGTTGATGTGTATTTCATTGCTTGGGTCTAGTGGTATTTTTTTTTTAACAAATGTAAGCTGTACTGTTAAGTGCATATATATTTATAATTGTTATATTCTTTTTGAATTGTTACTTTTATCATTTTATAATGACCATCTTTTTCTTTTTCTGCTGTTTTTGATTTAAAGTTTGTTTTATCTTATATAAGAATAGCTAATCCTGTCTGATTTTATTTTGTTTCCGTTTGAGTGGAATATTTTATTCCACCCCTTTACCTTGAGTGTATGACACCCTTTACAAGATAAATTAGTTTCTTGGAGACAGCAGATATATGGGTTGTGATTTTTTTGTCCATTCTCTCAATCTATATCTTTTAAGTGCACCATTTAGTCCATTTACATTTGAATTTGACATTAATATGGATATGTGAGAATACTGTTCCAGTAATTATTAATTCTTAAATACTTATTCTTTATTCTTCCTTGAGTTACTGATTTATAGGAGCTGTGGATTTTTCCTTTTCAGTTTTACTTTGATGCATATTGACAATTTGTTTTGGTGTTTAGAGCATTTCTTATAGGGGTGGGTCTACTGGTGGCAAATTCCTTCAGTGTTTGCTTGTCTGGAAAATATTTCATTTCTTCTTAATTTATGAAGCTTGTTTTGCAGTATACAAAATTTTTGGCTTATGGCTTTCTCTATTAGAGAATACAGAATAGGTGTAGAAACGTATACACGTATACACGTATATGTGTATACGTGTATGAAGAATTTGGCAAAATTCAGCACCCTTTTATGATAAGAACTCTTAAGAAAATAGGTATAGATGGGACATACGTCAGTATTATAAAATCCATGCATAACAAACCCACGGCCAACATCATACTGCAAAACTAAAAGCATTCCTACTTTGAACTGAAAGTAGATGAGGTTGCCCATGGTTTTCACTTCTGTTCTACATAGTTCTGGAAGTCCCAGCATGAGCAATCACGTGACAGAAGGAAATCAAGTGTATTCAAATAGAGAAAGAGGTCAAACTATCACACTTTGCTGATGATATGGTTTTATACCTAAAAACACTAAGATTCTGCCAAGATACTCCTGGAATTGATAAATTAATTCAGAAAAATCTCAGGCTACAAAATTAATGTACACAAATTAGTAGCATTCCTTACACCAACAACATTCAAGCTGTGAATGAAATCAAAGACTCAATAACTTTCAAAACAGCAACAAAGAAAATAAAGTACCTAGGAATATATTTAACTAAGGAGGTGAAAGACCCCTACTGGGAAAACTACAAAACACTTAGGAAGGAAATTGCAGAGGATATAAACAAATGGAAAAAACATATCATGCTCATGGATTGGCAGAATCAACATTGTTAAAATGTCTATACTACCCAAAGTGATTTACAGATTGAATACAATCCCCATTAAAGTACCAATGTGATTTTTTGTACATCTAGAAAAAATAATTCTATGCTGTGTATGGAAACAGAGAAGATCCTGAATAGCCAAAGCAACCTTAAGCAAAAAGAACAAATCAGGAGGCATCAATTCACCAGACTTCAAGATACACTTCAAGGCTATAGTAACAAAATCAACATGGCACTGGAACAAGAACAGAGACCTTGAATGATGGATCAGAACAGAGAACCCAGATATATTAACAAAACCATCCTCGTATTGCCATCTGAACTTTTTCAAAGCAGACAAAACATATGCTGGGTAAAAGAATCTGTATTAAATAAGCCATGCTGGGAAAATTGGATAGTTACATGTAGAAGACTGAAAAAGGATCCACACCTCTACCATTCACAAAAATTAATTCACAATGCATAACAGACTTAAACCTAAGACATGAAACTATATAAATTCTAGAAAAGTTACAAAAACTCTTATAGATTTCGGCACAGTAAAATAATTTATGAAGAAGAACCCAAAGGCAATCACGACAACAAAAATAAATAAATGGGACCTGATTAAATTAAAATTTTCTGTATAGCCAAGGGCACAATTAATAGAATGAATAGACACCCTACAAAATGGGAGAAAATATTTGCATACTATACATTCGATAAAGGGCTAATAACCAAAGTCTACAAATAACTCATGCAAATCAGCAAGAAAATGTCAATCCCTATTAAAAAGTGGGCAAAAGACATAAACAGATGCATTTCAAAAGAAGATAGACTGGATTTGAATAAATCCAGTCAAAAATAAAGAAAAAAAAACAAGAGAAATTTTTAAAAAACTCCAAGAAATATGAGGTTCTGTAAAATGGCCAGACATCAGAAGCTTTCGACCTTGTGGCACACAAAAGCACTTGCTGTGGCTTCTAAGAGGTGTATCTGGGCGTCCCAAGCTCCCTGGAAGCCTGTGTGTGATAGGTGTTCTGTTAGAGGCAGGGCAGCTACTTCCATTCCCTGTGAAACACACACCAGTGCAGAATGGAAACTTCCCTTCAGCTGCAAATGCCTGAACAGCAGTGGCCAAGAGAAGGGAGGAAGAGGAGAAGGCCCCAAATGGTGGGGAGCTGGTGAGCTGGTCCCCTTTGTATTTAGGGACCCTCTGGCATACTGCACTCTTCTCTCAGCTGAAAGTAGCCTGGCCTAAATGCCCAAGCTCCAGAAGAGCTACAGTTCCCCCAGGTCTCACCATTCCCCAAGGCTGCTGTGGTCCAAGTGAGTGCTGAAGGGTGGGACACCATCTGTGGGCTGAGCAACGTAGAGACCCAGGGCTGAGATTCCCAGGTCAGGACTGCTAGTAAAATACTGCCTACCCGTGAAGGAGGGGAAATGAGAGTGCAGAGTCCAGGAGCAGTGAACAGAGTACTACTGGGATGTACCCCCACCCCCATTGAAGCCTAGAACTGGCCATGACACAGCTCACCAGTGTCAACAGCTCACACGTGAGAGCCAAGGCAGCTATGTCCAAAGTATTCGGTCATTGGAAGAGGG